CACCTGCATCCACCTTTCTCATCCTCACTTTGCAAAGGGCGAAACCAAAGTCCCTGGGGAGGAACGATGCTGTGGGTTGGTGGTGGGTTAGAGCAGACCAGGCGTCCTGGGCCTGGGGTGCCAACCTGCATCTGCAGGGGGGTAAAAACTGCTAACCTGCTAGGCAGCGGCTTTTGCCTGAGATTAAACAGAGGGGGAAAAAGTAAATAAAACGCTCTGCTTCTACTCCTCTTTCCTCCAGGTCAACCGTTTGACCCTCATTACAAAATTAACAGCGCCGTCTCAAACATTATCTGCTCCATAACCTTTGGGAGCCGCTTCGACTACCATGACAGCCGCTTCCAGGAGCTGCTGCACTCGCTGGCTGAAACCCTGCTCCTCATTGGAAGCTTCTGGGGCCAGGTAAAGCCATTTTGATTGCTCTCCAACTTCACTCGGGCATTAAGTGCTTGGAAAGTCTGCATTTCTAAGGTAATCTGGCTTTTCCCCACGGGAAAAAAGAAAAGAGTCATGTTATAAAGGAAATGACCATGAGTATTGTTTTACATGTTTTTATACATAAAATCCATTAAGCAAGTTAAAATAACTCAACTAGTGGAGCTAGGAGAACTAATAAATTGTACAGCCTGAATGGAAGCACCCTGCTCTTTTTTAACCAAAGAAACATGATTTTGTTCTGTCTGCTTGATGCTTTTGCAGCTGTATAATGCTTTCCCCTTGGTAATGAGATGGCTCCCGGGACCCTTTAGGAAAATCTTTAGGCACTGGGAGAAACTGAAATGCTTCGTGAAAGAAGTGATTGCAAAACACAAGGAGGAGCTGAGCCTGGCTGAATCGGGGGATTACATTGATTGCTACCTGAAGGAGATAAAAAAGGTATAGTGTGAAGGGGAACCGGCTACCCAAAGCCCAAGGAATGAAGAGCGGAGACCTAGAGCTATTTTGCTAACTTGTTTATGAATAGAAAGTTTGGAACTGGGTCTGTGAAGACACAACCCTCCTAAATAAGTTCCACAAGCTCCCTAAGTCCCTTCATTTCCATTTTCCTTTTCTTCTCAAGTGCAAGGGTGACCCCAGCTCTTATTTCCATGAGGAAAACCTGCTGTGCTCCACCCTGGACCTCTTCCTGACTGGCACTGAGACAACCGCCACCGCCATCCGCTGGGCCCTGCTCTACATGGCCATGTACCCCCATGTCCAAGGTGGGAACATCAGCAGGGAAGTGCAGATACTTTGGGGAAGGCCAAAACCAGTCCATCCTGGGTTGGGTTGGAAATGCAGAGAGAGATGAAACTCAAAAAACTATTTTGATATGAAAAATCTAGAAGAGAAAACCAACGAGTCATGCCTGTATCAGTAGAAACCTCTGGCCTTTTGAGCATAGATGCCTTTTCTTTCCCTTTCCATAGAGAAAGTGCACCTGGAAATCGACAGCGTGATCGGGCAGTCGCGCCAGCCGGCGATGGATGACAAGGAGAACATGCCGTACACCAGCGCGGTGCTGAGCGAGGTGCTGAGGATGGGCAACATTGTGCCGCTGGGTGTCCCCAGGATGTCCACCAGCGACACCACCCTGGCCGGCTTCCACCTGCCCAAGGTACAGGCAGGAAAACGTCCCCTCCGCTCATGGGAGCCAGGTTGATCATGGCATACCCCCAAAGTCCTCAGACTTTGACTTGGAAGGGAACCAACCAGCAGGATCTTGCCCAGATAGCCCAATGACATAAAAAATAGGAGTGATTCAGATAAACACGGTAAAGGTGTTATGGATCTCACCTCTTCATGCAGGAGATCTTATAGCAGAGCCATGACGCTGGTCATCATTTCCACTTTTATAAAGCAGTTTGCTTCTCAACCATTTTTGCTCCACAATGCTCAGATTTTTTTCTTTTTCTGATGGAGAATGTGGTGTTTAATCGGATATTGTGCTGCTTTAAATAAATAGCACAATAAAGAGGATCTGTTGAAGATTATTTGGTTAAGCTACTCCAAATTCCCATGGGAACATAAGTATACTGATGAAAAAATGGCTTATAGTCAGTGGCACTAGCACAAAATACAGTCCCTAATTGGTATACACATTAAAGTTAACATTCACAGTGTTTTTCACCCTCACTTAATAGTATTTGCTAAGAATAACATTTTATTCTTAAGAAAACATGTATTTCACTTCATGTGCAGACCACAGAGCTAATAATAAACTGGTCTGACAACATCTTGGTGCCTCTTCTCAGTGTGCCCGTCTCCTACAGGGCACCACGCTGATGACCAGCCTGACTTCTATCATGTTTGACAAAACTGTGTGGGAAACGCCAGACACCTTTAATCCCGAGCATTTCCTGGAAAATGGCCAGTACAGGAAGAGGGAGGCTTTCCTGCCTTTCTCTGCAGGTACAAATGCAGGGGGAAATGTGGTTTGGTTTTTTTTTTTGGCCTACGCAATGTGTTTTTTTTTTTTTTTCCTTTAAGAACCCCTATATGAGAGCAGGGGATGCTGCTCCTTGTCCAGCTTTTCACCTCTGGTAGCTGCCCACATCCAGCATTTCCACGGTCAGAAAAACCTGCAACAGTTAATGCTGACTGCACTGTGCTGTATTGTGGAGATGGTGGGAGTCAATTTATTAGTGCAAGATGAAAAATAAGGCTTTTCCTCTTGCATTAGCTGCATAAATGGGCTTTTCCTGCCTCCTTTTGCCCGCTGGGCTCCCCCTGCAGCCTTGGCGCTGCGCTTCGTGGCCAAATTCTGGGGAAGGTTTCTGTGAAATGTGTGGGTGAACATTGCCACCTAACCTTGCGAAGGAGAAAAGCTCCGCATCAAGAAGTGTGCGCGGGAGAGGAGGGCAGGCTGGGACAGCGAGTCCTCCGCACGGGTGGCAGCCCAGACACGCACCATCCCCACACCAGAGCTGGCCTGGCCAGCAGCACCAGCAAGTGCCCCAGCTCCTTAGCACCAGAGGAAACATTAGGCACTAAACTCAGGGTTTTGCTCATTCTTTTTTTTAAGCAAAATCCCTATGTCTGTAAACTAGTGGTAGGATAGGCTGGGTTTTGCCATCAGCTAAGCCCATTGCTCACCGGCTGCTTTCTCCTCCCCTGGCAGGCAAGCGGGCTTGTCCCGGCGAGCAGCTTGCCAGGACGGAGCTCTTCATCTTCTTCACGGCCCTCCTGCAGAGATTCACCTTCGAGGCACCGGTGCATGCGGAACTGACCTTCGACTTCACGCTCAGCCTCACACGCTGCCCCAAGCCCTTCCAGATCCGGGCACTGCCTCGCTGCTAGGCACCCCAACGGGCTGCCATGGGGAGAAGGGCCCTTTTCCCCATCATCTTGTTATGTTTTTGGATGTCTCTGGATGTTCCCACTACGCGGTGGGATAGGATGTGCACTCTGCACTTGCATCTCCATGTTGACTTGAACATCTAGGTGGCCATGGCCAGCAGCCAACCTCACTGCCTCAGGGAGCCTCAGCTCTGCTGTGTTACGAGGTCCCCATGCTCCCACATTGTGTGCAGAGACCTCAGCCTTGCAACAGCAGTGTCCAAATTCTTAATATCTCATGCATGTATTTGAATTTTGAGGAGGAAGCTAGAGGGTGGCAGAATCAGCCTCTACCAAAGGCCAAGTGGAGGTGCAGCTTCCAGGCAGGTCTCAAATGACTACGATGATGTTACACTTTGAGGAGGATAGGTTTACCTCAAATGGTTTGTGCTAATAAAATAGACATTGAAAAAGTTGTTAAAAAATCATTTTGGAGGTGCTTGGGCCTGTTGTAGCACAGGCAAGGAGTGTGATAGGCAGGAGAGAGCCAGCAGCTGCCAACAGACAAAGCAAAGTGGCAGCTTCGCACTGGGAGGTCCCCACCTTCCTCTTTGTCAGTTCTGTCCCAACCAAGATAGGGGTTTTGCGCCAGTCAAGTCGCCCAAGAATGTTCCCAAAACACCATGAGACTCAACCCATGAGCAGCCGGGGGGGAAGTCAGAGTGTTGAGGCTTAGCTATAAACTGCGTTTAAATAATATAATAAGCTAAATGTGCAATTTGTACACAGTTTTCCTATTTATGTAACCAGTGTCCCATGCTGTCCCCTGCATGCTTTTGTTCAGCACTGAACCCAGCAGAAGTTATGGCCTCTACTCCTTTATTTTCCCTCTAACCTTTCAGCAGTGCCTTGTATATGTATGCACGTGTCAGCCACGAGATGAGCAGCAGGAAAATTAAAACAGGTAGCCACTAGATGGGCAGCAGGAAAATAAACCACATTTCACTGCCACTGCATTTAGTCCCCATCACAGGCCTGGTGCAATTGCAGATCGGTGCCACATGGGAGTGTCCTCTGCACAGCACATCCCTCTGCGGAGCTCCGAGGGGACCCTGCTTGTGATCATTTTAATCCTCTTACATTTTTAATTAATGCCACTTACGGGTTCCCTCCTGTTCTTTCTTTTTCTTCTTTTTTTTCTTTTGTTTTCTCTGAAAAGAAGGAAATGTGCAAGATCTGTATGTTGTCTCCCCGCTAAGAAGTTTTCAAAGGTGCTCAGGACAGGACATGGGTCCCACTCATCTGCCTGCACTCCAGAGTGTGTCTGACCTCTAGTACATGTGCACACCCTGTGCTATTTGCTATAGCTCAGCAAACAAGCTTCCCCTCTTCGGCTTTGCTGTTCCAAACTTGCATGATGTTGTTGCTGCAGCTCCGCTGGTTCCCTTTACGGTGCTACATGGAAGAGAAAAAACAGTTGCAATCCTCTGCAATCCTTTCCTTTTTTAATCACTGAGATCATTCGGGGAAAAAAAAAACCAAAAAAAAAAGACATAAAGGCATGTCTAAAATGCACTGATCCCATATCATATATCCTGGGAGTGCCGCACTCATGCCAGGGCATTGCAGAGCGGAGGGAAAAGACTGCAGAGCAGCCAGGAAGCAGGAGGAGCGCTCCCGGACAGACTCTGCTGGGGCCACCGGCACCGAAAGAAAGGGCTGGGAGGGCAGGGGTGTGTGAGAGGCTGCAGCGAAGATTTCCAATGTGGTGTCTCTGATGTCCTCCTGGCAAGTGTGGATGAATCAAACTGCTTTTTAACTTTAAATTTGTTGTGGGGGGAGGCAGGGAGATGTGCCAGGAGAGGCGGGCGGCTGCATGAGAAGCTGACTCGCAGGCGCCTGTCTCCCTGTGCACTTTGCCCAGCTCCGGGCGCGGATCCGGACGCCTGGGGCTGCCGGCATCATGAGCCTCGCCATGCTGCGCCTCCTGAGCGAGGGCGTCTCCAGCCTCTCCATACGGACCCTCCTGGTCTTCCTCGTCGTCTTCCTGCTCATCGCTGACTACATGAAGAAGAGGAAGCCCAAAAACTTCCCGCCGGGACCCTTCTCCCTCCCCTTCCTGGGGAATATCCTCTCCATGGACTTCATTGACCCCCTGAAAGGGGTAGAGAAGGTAAAGAGCCCTGAGGGCCAAGGAGACATAAGCTTGGGTGGGAAGAGGAAAGACGGATACACAGCACTTACAATAGGAGGAAAGGGGTCAATGCAAATCGAAGTGGCCCACGAGGAGCCAGGAGGTGAGGAGGGGGCTCCAGAGACCATCCAGGGCAAAGGAAGTCAGTGGGATATTGGGATAACCTCTGTCCCCGTGTGGAGTCAATGGAGACCTTAGCATATCTCTGCGTGAAGGGCACCACGCAATGGAGCTGCTGCCACCACTGCTATAGCAATCCCATGGTTTTGGTTGGGGAAAGAGGGAGACAGCAGCTGGGAAAGCTCTGCTAAGCAGAGACAAGACTTGAAAAAGTAGCCTGAAGGGCTTTTTTAATTTATTTACTGCCAATTAATACCAACATTAGATCACTAATTTGGGTAATAAGAAAATGAAGAGATCTTTACAGTATCAATTGGATTCTGCAATCCACTTAAATAAATGCCTGTTCTCCCTTATCCCTCCCTGTTTCTTCATGCAGACTTCCCTCATGTTCTCTGTGGCTTTGCTCAGGTCCCTGCCAAGACTCCATGTCTTAGGGTTTCCCGCTTGCTACCCCTCCACTGAGCTTTCTTATCCATGGCTTTGATCATTTCTTTTTCCCCTCTAGCTTATTGAAAAATATGGGGACATCTTCAGCATGGACATGGGCAGCATCAACTATGTTATTGTCAGCAACTTTGAGATGGTTAAGGAGGTGCTCGTAAACCATGGGGAAAACTTCCTAGATCGTCCAGAAATGCCTTTCGACAACGACTTCTTTAGCAAACGTGGTGAGTTCACATCATCCATGATGAGTATTTGGGACAAAGAGTCTAAACATGGACCCTGCACAACACCTGTGAGCCCATGAATGAAGCCGTCTGTGACCACCACAATGCACTCGGCTGCTCTGCCATTGAAAATGCTTTTCCACACCAATAACAGAAACTACTTAGCTTATGGTGAGGTGTTTTTTWTGTCCTTTTATTCCAGGGCTGACCACTTCCAATGGGCATTTATGGAAACAGCAGAGAAGATTTGCCCTGACCACGCTCAGAAACTTTGGCCTGGGCAAGAAGAGCTTGGAGGAGCGGATCCAGGAGGAGTGCCGGTACCTCACGGATGCCATTGGGGAAGAGCAGGGTGAGGCCACACTTGGAGAACTGCCCTGCATGCTGCTGTCTGCTAAAACACCTCAGAATTAGCTGATTAACGTGAGGAGGCAACAGGCAAAGCAATATTTGTAGCGAGTATTTAATACCATTCACTTTGAGCTCTCCTGAGAAGTGTGAGCACTCAGAGCTCCACTCTTTCCAAAGGCCTTTAGCTCTTTCCACACCCCTTGCTTTCCATCATCCTATGAAACCAGTCCTGAACTGGACCCACAGCAGAATCCACTCCTCTATTTCCTCTTCTCCAGGACATCCTTTTGACCCCCACTTTAAGATCAATAATGCTGTCTCCAACGTCATCTGCTCCGTCTCCTTTGGAGACCGATTTGAGTACCACAATGAGCGCTTCCAAGAGCTGCTGCATTTGCTGGACAAGGCAGTGGTGCTGCATGGCCACCCTGTGAGCCAGGTACTGCTCCCAAGGAGTGCTGGCCATGTGGGCACCAATTTGTGCAAGACCTTGGCTGCTCCTTTGCGATTGACCTCCAGACTTGTAGAGCAGTAGTTCATCAATGTGTCTTAGCAGACACAAGGTTTTGATGACACAAGGGTTGTTCTGGTCTTCTCTTCCATGTGCCCTTTGCTTCTCCTGTCCCAAGCTCAACAGCTTTTTCCCAAGCATCATGAAATATGTCCCCGGACCGCACCATACCATTTCTGAAATCTGGAAGCAACTGAAAAGTTTTGTGCAGACCATAATTGCTAAGCACAAGGAGGACTGGCAGCCCACYGAAAGCCGGGACTTCATTGACAGCTACCTGCAGGAGATAGCAAAGGTCAGTCACATAGCCGAGCCCACACGCAGCTCATGCTATAAATAGGGGGTAAGTAGAAAGGAATCGTAGTTCTCCATGTGTGTCTCCAACACGGCCACAGTGAAGCTAGGAAGGCCTTGGGTTTGGGATATCATGGAATGGTCCACTTGGTTTTTGTCTGGTAAGCGTTGTTTGGAGGAGCAGAATCAAATAAATTAAAATATGGGCAAAATATGATCAAAACAGCTGTGCTGAGCCCAGAGCTAAGTCTGGAGTGCTGTTGGGAGGGAAAGTCAACAGCACAGGACATCTTGCCACCTGGGAGGCGGAGGGGCCTCCCCTCATCTGATCAAAGCCATAGGGCAAGATCAGTACTGGTCTGCTGGTGGTCGTGGCCATCCACATGCTGCTCAAAACCCTCTTTGCTAAGGATGACGGCAGCGATGGCTTCAATGATGAGAATCTTGTGGCCTGCACACTGGATTTGTTCGTTGCTGGAACAGAGACAACATCCACAACCCTCCGCTGGGCTTTGCTCTACATGGCTGCATACCCAGACATTCAAGGTAAAATGAGTCACATGTCAAGAACCAGCTCCTGGCCTCTCCTTCCCTTCTCCCATACGTAGCGGAGCTCATGACACCATTCATCTATCTATCCCTTGGTGCCAGCACAGGGCTCTCATTGCCTCTGCCGAGGCCTTGGCCACCATGCCCCAGCAGAGCGTATGGCACTTCATTACATACTGAGACTCTTTCCTGAGCAAGAAGCCTTAGCCTCCTTCTATGAGAGAGCTTTACTATAACCCTCTGTTGGCTGCTAGACACGTTTTGAGTTAGGTTTTTTTAATTATTTTGTTTATTTTGTTTTGTTTTACTCTCACTGTGCTGTTGATGACTTTGCTCTTGTGTACACAGCACGTGTGCAAGCGGAGATTGATGCTGTAGTGGGTCAGACTCGGCAGCCTGGCTTGGATGATCGGACCAGCCTACCCTACACCAACGCTGTGGTCCACGAGCTGCAGAGGTTCAGCAATGTCATCCCTGGGAGCGTGCCCCGGCTGACCACACGTGACACCCTGCTCAGGGGCTTCTTTGTGCCCAAGGTAACCCTGGCTCCAGTCACCACGTAGCCAACCACAAGGACAACGTAATAGGAAATATTGTTTTCTTTGCTCAGGGCACCGTTTTGATAACCAACTTGACCTCAGTGCTCAGGGACAAGAAACAGTGGGAAACGCCTGATACTTTTAACCCCGAGCACTTCCTGAAGGACGGCCAGTTCTACAAGAGAGAGGCCTTCATACCATTCTCCCTAGGTAAGGGGGAGCAGATGTTTCCCCAGTCCCTTTGTGCTGAGTTCCTGGGATGAGAGTGGAAGCAGGATGATGCTCGCCCCAAATGCTGTTCCCCTCACACCTTGGACACCCACATCCCACACAACTTGAGGGGCTGGGGCAGAGTAAACACTCTCCTGGCCTTGGCTCCTTTCCAACACAGGGAGGAGCAACAGGGAGGAATGAAGTGCCACAAAACTCACAGGAGACTTGGAAGTGCCTTAAAGGCAAGAGTGGCCACCCTACCTGCTTGGTGTCAGGTTGCTCAAGGCACTTCCAGAGCAGRGCAGAAACTCGTGCAARCAATCTTCCCAACTGAATACCACGTCCTTTTGGGGGAGTTTTGGTTGCCCTGGACACAGGCAAACCAAAGCCRTGTGGCTGTCGCTGTCTCCGCAGGGAAGCGCGCCTGCCTGGGCGAGCAGCTGGCCCGTGCYGAGCTCTTCCTCTTCTTCGCGGCCCTGCTGCAGAAGTTCACCTTCCGGATGCCGCAGGACGCCGTGCCCAACCTCCGCTACCGCCTGGGCATGACACGGTACCCCCAGCCCTACCGCGTCTGTGCCCTGCCGCGCTAGCGGGGCCCCCAAACATCCATAGGGCTGCAGCAAGCAGGGCCAGAGAGAAGATGCCCCCTCCACAACAACAGCAAAATAGTTTCCTTTACAAAGTGACCTTTGTAGTCTCTGTCTGCCAACCATAATGCTGCATTGAGAGACGAGTTGAAAATCCCCAGTTGTCCAGGTGAGAAATGTTTCTATATTTTTTGACAACATACAAATTGTAGGGATCAAGGCTTTCTTAATTTCATTTTGTGTAGTAATCATTCTTAGCAGCATATAAGTTAGGAGTGCTTTGCCAAGGGCCATATTTTGGCGGGTCCACCCTGTTAAAAGAGCGGCACTAGCCCCTGTCTTGTGGATTGAACATGAGTAGTAATTACCAAAGGTGTGCTTCTGTTACTCTTGACATACCATATATGTATGTATAGTTTTTATACATATATAAAAAATTGACTCTTTAAAATCTCTGTCTGTATTCTACATTCTAATAAATCCTTACAGAAACATTTTTTTTCTGGAAAGCATTTTTCAAAGTGAACATCAAGGAGGGCAGTTTCTCACCACACCTGCAACCTGGTCCTTGCAGCCGCAGGGATACAGGCAGCCAGGCCTGGATCCGGGTGAGGAGCCACCCTCTCAAAGCAGCAGAAACGGGGGAGTTCAGAGGATCACAGAATCATTATGGTTGGAAAAGACCTTCAAGATCACCAAGTTTAACTGTAAGCCCTTCAACAGCATACCTGCAAGACCATGTCCCTAGGCGCCTCTTCAACATGTTTCTCCAACGCTGTCAGGGATGGTGACTCCATTCCTTCCCTGGGGTGCCCATTTCAATGCTTGCTTACTCTTTCCATGGAGAAATTATTCCTAATGTCTAACGTGAACCTCCCATGGTGCGACTTGAGGTCATTTTCTCTTGTTGAATTCGGTAGTTATTCTGGAGAATCCTTCCTCACTACACCCTCCTTTCAGGTAGTTGTAGAGAGCGATAAGGTCTCTGTTGAGGCTCCTATTCCCCAGACTAACTAATCCCAGCTCCCTCAGATGCTCCTTCTAAGGCCTGGGCTCCAGCCCCTTTTCCAGCTACACTGACCTTCCATGGACAGGTTTCAGCACCTCCATGTCTTTCTTGTATTGAGGGGTCCCAAAATGAAAGCAGTATTCGAGGTGTGCCTCACCAACACCGCATACAGGGGAATGATCATTTGCCTGCTCCTGCTGGCCACAGTATTCCTATTGGCCTTCCTGGCCACCTGGACACACAGCTTCCTCATATTCAGCCAGCTCAACTCCCAGATCCTTTTATGCCACACAGTTCTCCAGCCCCTCTCCCTCAAGCCAACAGCATTCCATAGGGCAACAGGCCACTTGACAGGCCTGCAGCTCCCCAGATCCTCTATCCAACCCTTCTTGCTTGTAGATGGGCATCCCATTGGCAAGTCTCCAGTCGCCTGGAACCCCTCCTGTTGACTAGGTTTGCTGATAGATGATGGAGAGTGGATTAGCGAGCACGTCTACCTGCTCCTTCAGAACCCGCAGGTTAATCCCACTGGGTCCCATAGACTTGTGCGYGTCCAAGTGCAGTACTAGGTCACTGACTGTTCCCTCTGGGATTATGGGGTGTTATTCTGCACTCTACAGTGCAGGCCAAGTTCATGGGGCCAAGTACCTCCAGAATAACTGATGTGAGTGTTGAAGACTAAGACAAAGAAGTCATTAAGTACCTCAGCTTTAATGTCACTCTTGGTTACAATGTTCCTCATCACATCCAATAAAGGATGGAGTCTCCTTGGCCCTCTTAGTCCTGCTAATGTATTCGTAGAAACATTTTTGTTGTCTTTTACAACAGTCACCAGGTTGAGTTTTTCTGAGCTTTCGCCTTTCTAATTATCTCCCTCCATACCCTAGCAACTTGCTAGTTCTCTTCTTCAGCTGCCTGTCACATCTCCTAAAGAYGTTAAATTCTCTTTTTCCTGCAGTCTCTGCAGTAGGTCCCTATTGAGCCAGGCCAGTCTTCTTCCCCTCCAGCACATCTTATGGCACATGGGGACCACCTGCCCCTGCACTTTAAGGATTCTTGAGAAAAGTCCAGGCTACTTGGATCCCTTTTCCCTTTGTTTCTTGTGGGACTCTCCCAGTCAATGTCCTAAACAGGCCAAAGTCAGCCCTCCAGAAGTCTAACGCAACAGTTTTGCTGATGCCTCGCCTGGCTTCACTGTGAGTTGAAAACCCTCTCATTTCACTATCACTATGCCCAAGACGACCTCCAATCGCCATGTCTCCCACCAGTCCTTCTCTGTTCACAACGAGGAGGTCCAGTGAGGCTCCTCCCTGGTAGGCTCATTTACCAGCTGTGATAGAAAGCCATCTTCCACGCACTTCACCAATCTCCTAGACTCTTTTCTATCTGCTGTGTTTTACCTCCCAGAAACATCTGATAGATTGACATTCCCCATGAGAAAAAGGGCTGTCCTTTTCCTGTTGCACCTGATGGAAGTCACCCCTTCCCTTCATCTTAGTAGAAGCAGTCTGAAGGAACGCGCTGTCTACCGCACCCTAGACAACTCCCTAGGGAGGACCTTGGTTCATGACCTCTTCTCTCTGGCCCCCAAGTTCTAGGGCCTCACGCCTATCGAATGTGGTCACCTGTGTGTGTGTGGGGGGGGTGAGGTGGGCCAGGAGGGGATTCTCCTACCACTCCATGCAAGGACTTGTTTCCATTCTTGCTCATCTCTTCTTTCTGCCCCCGCTGCCCTATGGCAAGAGGGTAGGGGAGCCTCAGGCGCATTGGGAGTGGTCTCCCTGTGCACTTCCTGGCAGGACTGCAGGGTGCGGYTCCACCCATTTATCTCTTTCTCACACTCCCTCATGCTCCTCAGCCTTTCGACCTCCTCCTTCAGTTTCACCAGCAGGATAAGCAGTTGAGCCACCTGCTCACACCTGAGGCAGGTGTTGTCTGTGCTGCTGCATGGTTACATGGAGGGGCTCAGACACTTCCCAGACTTTATGCTGCTTCATTTCCCTCACTGGGGAAGGTGGAGGTGGTGCTGCAAGAGGGTGAGGGCAGCAGCGATGAACGGCCATCGCGTGTGCAAGGCTGCTGCCCGCGCGCTTGGTGTTGGCATCGTCTGACCTATTTCTTCCCGCTTCTTGGCTCTGAGTCCAGATTCCTTTCCCAGGCTACTGCTGCATTCAAAAGCTTCCTCTTCCTCCTCACGCCTTGGCCTCAGTTCAGCTAGCTGAAGGCTGGAGGAGGAGGGGAAACCCACGAACAAACAACAACAACAAAGATACCCWGAAGCACATGCGTTTTACCAGGCTGCCTTGCACTGGCTCCACAGAGGAATTCTGCACTTGATGTTTACTTCATTCATCAAAGCTCTAGAAAAGAACCAACACCCGGGCTCAGCCGTTTTGTGCCCTGCATCTGTTCCCTTACACTGACCTCTGTAAGGGTAGAAAATATCTTGTGGTTTGGCTCATGTCTCTCAGGCAACCGAAACCTTCTTTTCTTGCCTTTGCCCTCAAAATAAATATAGCTATTTTATTCTTCAGGAACTGAAAATCATTTCAAGTCATGCCTCAGTAATAAGGAAATAGGGCTCCTCCCTATCTGGCCTTTTACAAGAATAGCATCACGCAGGAGAAGATCTTGGCAGAGACACTTCCGGGCTCCCCCTTGGAGCCACTGCCCTGCTCTTCCTCCTCGCRGAGAGTGTTTTCTCCCTCTGCTCTGTGTTACATCCCCCTTTTCCACACGCTCCTCCCCTGCGTGGCAGCTCCAGGCACAGATTCGTACCAGCCGCTGACACTGCAGCGGCTGGGGCCAGGTCACACAGAGAGTGTCCCTCACAGCCCCCTCCTGCTCTCCTAACAGGGTCCTGGGCCCCAGGTGGGGTAGACAGCATGGGGCTGGGGGAAGCCAAGCACAGGCATAAAACTGGGGCTGAAGCAAAGCCCTAGGGGAAACCAGGGGTGCTAGGGACACTTGGCTCTTGCTGAACTTTGTTCTGCAGGGCAGACAGGCTGCCTGTTGTCACGCCCAGGGCAATGTTTAGGTCCAGCTCAGCGTTCAGGGGACAAGTGCACTGCCAGACACTGAGGCACAAAGATAACTCTGAAGCCCGGAGGAGAAGACTCACACTTTTCTTTTGCAACTAAGCATGACTTGGAGGATGTAGGATTGCCCCTCTCCTATGTTGTCCTGGTGGGGCTGAGGAAAGCGGGCAGAGATCCTGCTTTAGGCCAGCAGNGAAAGCCGGGACTTCATTGACAGCTACCTGCAGGAGATAGCAAAGGTCAGTCACATAGCCGAGCCCACACGCAGCTCATGCTATAAATAGGGGGTAAGTAGAAAGGAATCGTAGTTCTCCATGTGTGTCTCCAACACGGCCACAGTGAAGCTAGGAAGGCCTTGGGTTTGGGATATCATGGAATGGTCCACTTGGTTTTTGTCTGGTAAGCGTTGTTTGGAGGAGCAGAATCAAATAAATTAAAATATGGGCAAAATATGATCAAAACAGCTGTGCTGAGCCCAGAGCTAAGTCTGGAGTGCTGTTGGGAGGGAAAGTCAACAGCACAGGACATCTTGCCACCTGGGAGGCGGAGGGGCCTCCCCTCATCTGATCAAAGCCATAGGGCAAGATCAGTACTGGTCTGCTGGTGGTCGTGGCCATCCACATGCTGCTCAAAACCCTCTTTGCTAAGGATGACGGCAGCGATGGCTTCAATGATGAGAATCTTGTGGCCTGCACACTGGATTTGTTCGTTGCTGGAACAGAGACAACATCCACAACCCTCCGCTGGGCTTTGCTCTACATGGCCGCATACCCAGACATTCAAGGTAAAATGAGTCACATGTCAAGAACCAGCTCCTGGCCTCTCCTTCCCTTCTCCCATACGTAGCGGAGCTCATGACACCATTCATCTATCTATCCCTTGGTGCCAGCACAGGGCTCTCATTGCCTCTGCCGAGGCCTTGGCCACCATGCCCCAGCAGAGCGTATGGCACTTCATTACATACTGAGACTCTTTCCTGAGCAAGAAGCCTTAGCCTCCTTCTATGAGAGAGCTTTACTATAACCCTCTGTTGGCTGCTAGACACGTTTTGAGTTAGGTTTTTTTAATTATTTTGTTTATTTTGTTTTGTTTTACTCTCACTGTGCTGTTGATGACTTTGCTCCTGGCACACAGCGCGTGTGCAAGCGGAGATCGACGCTGTGGTGGGTCAGACCCGGCAGCCAGGCCTGGATGACCAGGCCTGCCTACCCTACACCAATGCTGTGGTCCACGAGCTGCAGAGGTTCAGCAATGTCATCCCTGGGAGCGTGCCCCGGCTGACCACACGTGACACCCTGCTCAGGGGCTTCTTTGTGCCCAAGGTAACCCTGGCTCCAGTCACCACGTAGCCAACCACAAGGACAACGTAATAGGAAATATTGTTTTCTTTGCTCAGGGCACCGTTTTGATAACCAACTTGACCTCAGTGCTCATGGATAAGAAGGAGTGGGAAACGCCTGACACTTTTAACCCCGAGCACTTCCTGAAGGACGGCCAGTTCCGCAGGAGAGAGGCCTTCATACCATTCTCCCTAGGTAAGGGGGAGCAGATGTTTCCCCAGCCCCTTTGTGCTGAGTTCCTGGGATGAGAGTGGAAGCAGGATGACGCTCGCCCCAAATGCTGTTCCCCTCACACCTTGGACACCCACATCCCACACAACTTGAGGGGCTGGGGCAGAGTAAACACTCTCCTGGCCTTGGTGCCCTTCCCACKCAGGGAGGAGCAACAGGGAGGAATGAAGTGCCACAAAACACACAGGAGWCCTTGGAAGTGCCTTGAAGGCAAGAGTAGCCACCGTATGTGCTTGGTGTCAGGTTGCTCAAGGCACTTCCAGAGCAGAGCAGAAACTCGTGCAAACAATTTCCCAACTGAGTATCATGTCCTTTTGGGGGAGTTTTGGTTGCCCTGGACACAGGCAAACCAAAGCCGTGTGGCTGTCGCTGTCTCTGCAGGGAAGCGCGCCTGCCCGGGTGAGCAGCTGGCCCGTGCTGAGCTCTTCCTCTTCTTCACGGCCCTGCTGCAGAAGTTCACTTTCCTGATGCCGCAGGACGCTGTGCCCAACCTCCGCTACCGCCTTGGAATTACAAGGCAACCCTGGCCCTACCGCATCTGTGCCCTGCCGCGCTAGCTAGCGGGGCCCCCAAACACCCGTGGGGTGCAGCAAGCAAAGATGCCACCTCAACAACAGCAAAACAGTTCTCTTTTCAAAGTGACCTTGTAATCTCTGTCTGCCCACCATAACTCTACAATGCAGAGGTTTTGAACGGCAGGTTGAAAAATCCGTCCTTGATCAGGTGGGAAATATTTCCCTTTTTTTTTTGTCAACATGCAGATGGAGGAATCAAGGCTTTCTTAATTTCATTTTGTCCAGTAATCATTCCCAGCAGCAAGTAAATTTAGGAGTGCTTTTCAGAGGGAGACATTTGAGTGGATCCAGCCTCTTAAAAGCAGAACCAGCCCCTGTCTTGTGGTTTTAGCATGCCCAGTGATTGCCAAAGCTGTTCTTGTTTCCCTTAACCCATAATCTCTCTCTCTATATAAATATTGACTGAGATTGAATCTATAACATCTCTGTATTCTGCAATCTAATAAATGCTTATTAAAATATTTTTGTTAGAAAGCTTTTTTTCAAAGGGAAGAGCAAGGAGGGCAGTTTCTCACCACACCTGCAGCCAAGTCCTCGCAGACACAGGGATACAGGTAGTCAGGCCTGCCTCAGCTTGGGCACTAGTGAACTTGGACAACACCTTGACTGAAAACTGTTCTGTCACTGGGATTCCATCAATGTGATTTACCCCGGCTCTGCCAAGCTCTACCCTGAGCTTGGCAACACTTTGGCCATCTCTGTTCTTCCCTTCACACAAGGTGGCTTTGTGCACAGGGTCTGGCCAGGTGGCCTTGAGGTACCCAAGGCTAGAAGATGATGGCTTGACCTAAAGGTCAATTTCTGCCACGTGATGCTCCCAAACAAGAACTGCTGCCACTCTGTTTTGCAGATTCATTAAATGGAAACAGGCAGAGTTGAGCCAAACTAATGTATTTATAAAATGCAGGAGACTAGACCAAGTTACTGCTAGTAATTGGAGGAGAATCCCCTGCCCTTAGCTCCACTCTCTAACCTTCCTTTCCCATCTCCCAGCTCAGGACACAGGTGCGTGGCCTTCTTGGCCACCTGGACACACACCTTCCTCATATTCAGCCAGCTGAACTCCCAGATCCTTTTAAGCCACACAGTTCTCCAGCCACTCTCATTTACTGACTGTGATAGATTTCTACGCACTCCATCAATCTCCTAGACTCTTTTCTATCTGCTGTGTTTTACCTCCCAGAAACATCTGATAGATTGACATTCCCCATGAGAAAAAGGGCTGTCCTTTTCCTGTTGCACCTGATGGAAGTCACCCCTT